ACCATGTCAATGCATCTCCCTTCAAAGATAAAGGGAAGACCTTCCTTTTGACAACATCATCGGGAATACCTGCAAGCTTAAATAATCCACAAACTTCATCCACAAAGATAAGGTGTAAATCGGGATGCAATGCTCCGTCTCCTGCAAATGGATTAGCTAGTAGTTTCTCTATCATACCCGAAGGAATCTCAAAGTAAATATTTTCATAAAGTTCAGTAGGTTGAGGAGCAACTCTTTGCTCTTCTGGTTGGGGTGAAGATACCCCAAACAAGCCCCTCAAAGGATTAGTTTCCATAGTGACAAGTAACAGAAAATTTCAGCACACTATAAAATGTTTCCTTACCAAGTTGCACTCACCAAAAGCGCTACACTCCTCGGCAACGGCGCCAGAAAAGAGTCTTGATGAGTAAGAGTGTCAAACCCAACGAGGAGCAAAAGGAAATGATAAGAGGTTTTTAGTAAGGTTTTCTCTGCAAGCACTGAAATTGTAGGTGATAGATAGTTTTGTGATAAGATAAATAGTAACGAGTAATAAGTAAATAAAACAAGTAAAGTGCAGCAAGGTGGCCCAATCCTTTATGTAGCAAAGGATAAGCCTGGAAAAATTCTAATAATGAGGAAGGAGCTCCCGAGGACACATGGGAATTATCATCAAGCTAGTTTTCATCACGTTCATATGATTCGCGTTCAGTACTTTGATAATTTGATATGTGGGTGGACCGGTACTTGGGTACTGCCCTTACTTGGACAAGCATCCCACTTATGATTAACCCCTATTGCAAGCATCCGCAACTACAAAAGAAGTATTAAGGTAAACCTAACCACAACATTAAACATATGGATCCATATCAGCCCCTAATGAAGCAACGCATAAACTAGGGTTTAAGCTTCTGTCACTCTAGCAACCCATCATCTACTTATTACTTCCCTATGCCCTCCTCTAGGCCCAATAATGGTGAAGTGTCATATAGTCGATGTTCACATGACACCACTAGAGGAGAAGACAACATACATCTCATCAAAATATCGAACGAATACCAAATTCACATGACTACTAATAGCAAGACTTCACCCATGTCCTCAAGAACAAACGTAACTACTCACAAAGCATATTCATGTTCATAATCAGAGGAGTAATAATATGCATAAAGGATCTGAACATATGATCTTCCACCAAGTAAACCAATTAGAATCAACTACAAGGAGTAATCAACACTACTAGCAACCCACAGGTACCAATTTGTGGTTTTGATACAAGATTGGATACAAGATATGAACTAGGGTTTTGAGAGGAGATGGTGCTGGTGAAGATGTTGATGGATATTGACCCTCTCTCGATGAGAGGATCGTTGGTGATGACATTGGTGATGATTTCCCCCTCCCGGAGGGAAGTGTCCCCAGCAGAACAGCTCCGCCAGAGCCCTAGATTGGTTCCGCCAAGGTTCCGCCTCGTGGCGGCGGAGTTTCGTCCCGTAAGCTTGCCCATGATTTTTTCAGGGTAAAAGCGATGATATAGCAGAAGATGGACACCGAAGGCCCACCAGGGGGCCCAGGAGATAGGGGGCACCCTATAGGGGGCGCCCCTGTCTCCTGAATAGGGTGTGGGCCCCCTGGTGTATTTCTTTCGCTCAGAAATTCTTATTAATTCCAAAAAGTTGTTTCGTGGAGTTTTAGGACCTTTGGGGTTGTGCAGAATAGGTTTCCAACGTTTGCTCCTTTTCCAGCCAGAATTCCAGTTGCCGACATTCCCCCTCTTCATGGTAAACCTTGTAAAATAAGAGAGAATAGCCATAAGTATTGAGATATAATGTGTAATAACAGCCCATAATGCAATAAATATTGATACAAAAGCATGATGCAAAATAGATGTATCATGCTCCTACCCTACCGCCAGGGTCCTTGGCGGTAGGGTAGCTAACCATACCGTAAAAAATGCATGAATTCTTGCCTCAGAACACTCCACATGGGTTAGCTGCCCTACCGCCAGGGTCCTCGGCGGTAGGCCCACCCGCCAAGGACCTTGGCGGTACGGTGGCCAACCCTACCGAAAAATACATGAATCATCGCCTCGGAACGGTCTTCATGGGTTAGGTACCCTATCGCCGGGGTCCTTGGCGGTAGGTTAGCTACCCTACCGGAAAAATACACAAATTCCCGTGTCAGCACGCTAACACTGGAGTGCTCCTACCCTACCGCCGGGGTACTCGGGGGTAGGCTAGCTAACCCTACCGCCTGTGTCCTTGGCAGTAGGAGGAGAAAACAAAGGATACTCTGTTTTTTCTTGTTGTTAACATCATGCACAACACAAATTATGACATATAACTAAGAGAATTGAATACATAGTTCATGACAAACTTAGGCATACGACATAGTTCATGACAAAGTTCGCAAATTAAATGCATAGTCATGACAAAGTTTCAGAAATGAAAGACATAGTTCATGACAAAGTTCACAAATGAAAGACATAGTTCATAGTTCATGACAAAGTTTGCAAATGAAAGACATGGTTCTCAAATAGCCGCGATAGAGAAGGCCTTATTAGGTCACACGAGGTCATTTCCCTTTCTTGTCATGTGCCTCATCCTCCTCTTGGGCATCGTGAGCCCTTGCAAGCTTTCTTGCCATCTCCTCTTCACGAGCAACCTTCTCTTTGCGGCCCTCTCCTCCTCGCTCTTCTTCCGCTCCATCTTCTGCTTCTCACGACGCTCTTCATCCTTGGCTCTTTGGAATGCTTCTTCAAACAATTATTGCCTCCTAAGATAATCTCGATGTTGATCCTTTTGAACTTCTTCTCGCACATCTTGGTCTATCCAAAATAGGTGATTCCAACCAACCAAAAGAAGGAGAGTGGGAGAGGTACCTTGGGTGATGCAAATGCTTCGGACCACTGGACAAATCTCTAGCAATGAAGATGAATTTAGTGGGTGCTTTGGTGGGGAAGAGGAGGGGGAGAAGATGAGCTCGGGGGAAAAAGGAGATTGGGAGTGAATGGGTGGGTGGGGGGCCACCCATTCACCCCAACACCTTGTCCACTACACAGATCTACCGCCGGGGTGCTTGACGATAGGCTCGATCACCCTACCACCTGGGTCCTTGGCGGTACGCCCCTTTGCCACGTCAGCTGGCGTTAATCGCCGCCAAGGGTCTGCCGTCACGCTACCGCCTGGGGTGTGGCGGTACGATGTGATACCCTACCGCCAGATCGGGAAACGGTAAGAAAAAAGGTCAAATCTTGATATATATATATATATTTTTTGCAACAAGGATCAGATCAGGCTAAAAGTTTGGCAAAAAGTCAGGACACCAAATTTGACCACCAACGAACCAAGCAAGTGGCAGTGACTCACAGGGAGAAGGCCCCCGGCGGAGACATGGCGACGTACATACTCCCTCCGTTTCAGTTTACAAGTCCTATGCGTATACCGAGGTTATCAATTTTATCACTCTAATATAAACTATATAACACAAAAATTATACCTTTTGAAAATAGAACATCTAAAGTTTATTTTGATATATTTTTTGTAATATATGACTTGTATTAGGTTGGTTAAATTGACGACCTAGAGGTATACGCACGCCCTGTAAACTGAGAGAGAGAGGGAGTACGTGGGAATGGCATTTGCGAGCGCACTTTAGTTACTCCTTGGATCAACACGTCACTGCTTACGATTCAGATGCCTACAAATGCACAACGCAAGCCTGCCGGGCAGGAGCAGCTAGCGAAGTGCAGTGACACACTGCAGCGTGCGTTGCATGTCAGGTCGACGTGGTCTCGCGCTAGCCCCGCGTCGGTCGCCCGAGGCTCTGAACTCGTGGCATAGATGCCTTGGACGCGTCGCTGTTCGTGTCATCATCAGCCACTATTCGATTTGAATTTGATCGGCCACTCCCACTAGTCAGCACTGATGATTTTGCGCCACGAGTTCGGTATCTTGCGCTCCTCCATGCCCGAAAGGAGCAAGGAGGCGGGGATTCAGGGAAAGTGCACTTTGCTGGACGATGCAGACAAAATGGTTTCTCCACTTCCCTTCGTCGGCCGGCCTGGAGGAGGATACTGCCAACCGATCGAATCCGGCAAAACAAAGCGGCGCATGCGACGGAGACAGAGTAGGTGAACCATGCGTTTCATCGGGGCCGGCGTAATGCTAATGCATATACACAAAGCACTACCGCACCCAGGTCAGAAAAAAAAAAGCACGCGACTGCACCACGTAATTTTATACACAAAGCACGACCGCACCCAGGTCAAAAATTAAAAGCACGTTTCATCGGGGGCCGGAGTATGAACAAACAAACAGTGGCGAACGAATATGTTGTGGGATGATTAGGAAGACTGTGGCATGCTCAGTCATTAGGGTTTAAGTTCCAATGCTTGCATTATTTATAAATTTATTTTAGAATTTCATCGATGTGCGTTTAGTGAAAAGAGATGTTCACGTCGATTATGAAGACGTATGTGACGACTTTGTCAATCTTAAAATGATGTGCCGGCTCAGGCTCTCGAAGGTGCTTATATGAATAAAGTGTACGTGCATATGTTCATAGGGATGAGTGTATGTCCGTGACTTTACAGTGTTAAAAAACCGTGTGCTTGAGACGACGGACAATAAGCGGAAGCATTGTGAACGTGCGACTGCGTGGAGGTCTGTGAAGCACATACGCCGTGCCGCTGCGGCTGTGAAAGAGCGATGGCACCGACCGACGCACGGTGTGTTTCTGTTGGTTCTGGTGCTAGAAAACTCGGCAGCTGGCTCATCCCGCCACTTGGCGCGCGCAGCACTAGCCTAGTCATAACTGCCACCACCACGAACGAAGCCCCGGGACGAACCACACAGCTGTGGCCGTGCCGAGACAGCCCACACCCGCTGCCTACAAAGTGAGTATAAACTCGCCGCGCACCACCCGTTGCTCGCCGTCCCCGTCCCCTTCCTTCGACTTCGAGCGTCCTCTGCGACACTGCAGTGACTGCCTCCGTGTGCGGGTAGTGTCTGAGAGCGGGGATGGCGACGCACTTCGTGCTCAACACCGGCGCTAAGATCCCCTCCGTGGGGCTCGGCACCTGGCAGTCCGACCCCGGCGTCGTCGGCGAGGCCGTCTACGCCGCCGTCAAGGTCACCCCCTCTCTCTCTCCCTCACCACAATGCCCCCCCTTTCCTCTTTCCCTCTGCCTGATTTCATTTTGTCTTGGATTGAAAATCGTGCGTGCAGGCCGGGTACCGCCACATCGACTGCGCCAGGGCCTACAACAACGAGAAGGAGGTAACCCGGTCTCTCCAAACATTTGGATCCATTCCCTCCTGCATTAGCTTCCGTATGATTCTGATATCCGTGCTTAAACTTCCTACTGCTTGTTTCCTGCAACGCACGATCACTGATGAAAGATTCAGTTGTCCAATCTCCATTCATACTCATGGCCATACACAGCTTGCTTTCTGTCCGTCTATTTCACATGCCGGCTTTCACTAGAATATTAGTGGACTGCTTTAGAAAGAGCCCATGACTATCTACCTGCTTTTCCAGACGAAACAAAGAAAGAAAACAAGGGGTTTAGAGTGACCAATTTGGTCAACTTTAGAGTGTGTGTACCAATTGGAGATGCCAATCAAAACTCATGCTTCTAGCATTTGCCCTTCTGAAGCCAGTGGATTCTTTATGTCCCAAGTTTTTTTCATCCAAGTTGTGTATAACAAACAACAAACGCCTTTGGATTGTCCAGGTGGGTTTGGCACTGAAGAAGCTATTTGAAGAGGGTGTAGTCAAGCGTGAGGATCTGTTTATCACCTCTAAGCTATGGTAACCCAATTTTTCTTGTGATATAGCATCTCTTTAATACCTCAAGTCCAACTAATTGCTACCAATCGGCATGCTTTTTCAGGTGTGGTCATCATGCCCCAGAAGATGTGCCTGAGGCACTTGGGGATTCCCTCAATGACTTGCAGCTTGACTACTTGGATCTTTACCTTGTAAGTTGTATGGATCTTCCCGTTAAAGAGTTATAGTTCAGTACGTTGCTTGCTCAGTTATGGGTCTCTATCTCCAGTATCTCATGAACCAATTGGCATCAGTCTGCAACAAGTACCTATTTCACATATTCATCTTTTTTTTAGTAAAAGATAAATCAACTGACATTATTGTGAAATACTAATATATTAGCTTCTAACGTTTCTATGAGTAATCAGCTGCCTCTGTTACATGTGCTCCAGTGCTAGTTCATTGCACGATGATCGATGCTTCTATTCCAATATTGTGTTTTTTTTTGAGGAATCACCGGGGGGAGAGTTCTCCCACCTGAATATATTGCTCAAAAGCGGCAAAAGCCAAGAGCCATCCCTTAGGCTTTTGCTGATCCAGTTTATAAGGAAAACCGGATCAAAAACCTTAACAAGTTGACCTGTTTATGAGGAAAACCGGGTCGAAAACCGTACAAGAACAAAGTTAAAGAGAAGAAATAGACGCCCAGGAGAAGACACCACCTAGCTAACAGACATAAGAACCATCACCAAGAGGGCACAAGTAAATGAGGGGTGCTGTAAAGGGATCACAATACCAAGACTCTACAACTAGCCTAATGCACCGCACCGGCGTGCGCATCGAACCCCACGGCACCACAGAGGAGCATCCACAACCAACGAGTGCCAAAGCTTAACACGAACCTTGACTGGGTGCTCCGCCACGGGAGGTCGAGACGATTAGCAAGTTGGGGAGGCGTCATTGCGTTGTGATGTGAATACTGATTGGATCATTGAAAATGTGCTTTCCTCTTATCACCCATTGGATATGCTGGCAGTTATTTCTTTGTCCTGTTCGACAACTCGGATCAGTAGTATTCAGTTAACCTTATTAAGTCTATCCATTCTGGTATTGACAGACATTGTATTGTGGACTTCTGCTTACTAAGTCTATGGATAATTTTGGGGTTTATTTGTAATACTTCTGTCCAACTTTTAATATAGATGATTGTTTGTTGAAAGGGTTTAATATGTTGTTGAAGAATAATGTCAAATAAAAAACTAATAGCATGTATATTTTTGCAGATCCACTGGCCATTTAAAATCAAGAAGGGAACAAGCATTGGCAACCCTGAAAACTTCTTACCACCTGACATCCCAGCTACATGGGGAGCAATGGAGAAGTTGCATGATGCTGGCAAAGCTCGTGCAATTGGTGTGAGTAATTTCTCATCGAAGAAATTGGGTGACTTGCTTGCTGTAGCCCGCGTACCTCCGGCTGTTGACCAGGTGGAGTGCCATCCTACTTGGCAGCAATCTAAACTCCATAGCTTCTGTCAGTCAACTGGTGTTCACCTCTCTGTAAGTCTACCATCTAACTATATTTTTCTGTCAGTGGCTAGTGTTGCTTGTACATTTATTTTTCAAAGTGGTGCTCGTGATTATGATTCAGCATCTGCATGTTGCAGGCGTACTCACCACTAGGTTCACCTGGCTCAACATGGATGAATGGTAATGTCCTCAAAGAACCCGTTGTCGTCTCAATTGCAGAGAAGCTTGGCAAAACTCCAGCACAAGTGGCGTTGCGCTGGAACATTCAGATGGGTCACAGTGTGCTGCCAAAGAGCGTGAGTGAAGAACGGATAAAGCAGAACCTTGCTGTTTATGACTGGTCTATTCCAGAAGACTTGCTTGCAAAGTTCTCTGAGATTAAGCAGGTGAGTTATGCAATTTCGGATAGACATTTTTTCAACTACTATTAGCTGTTTTGTGCCTCAGCCGGCGTCTTTTATCATATACGAGCTGCTTAATATGATTTGGAGAAAACTACACTGTTATTTGATACCGAATTTGAAATATATACAGAATACACTGGCTTTCTATTGCCCCGTCGGAAATTTCTTATAGAACTTATAATTAAGTAGCATTTCTGAATTTGTAGGTTTTAAGGTTTATATTTTTGTTTTGGGTAGCTTCAGTGCCAAGATACTCCTACAGAAATGTTATTTTATCCTCGGATCATGCCTGTTAAAAGAAAATTAGAAGCACATGAGCAATAACAAGCAGCAATAATATACTATTCCCTCCGTCCCATAATGTAAGACGTTTTTTGGCACTACACTAGTGCCAAAAAACGTCTTACATTATGGGACGGAGGGAGTAGTTCAGAAGCATAGCGTGAAGGATTCTAGTGAGATGATGCACAGACTTAGGTCTACTCGCCACAAGATATAACCAATGGTTATGTTCCACTCTTTTTATTTTTTGAAAACTCTATTGCTTGTTGTTTCCAATTATTAATGGTCCAATGTCACTTGCATGACATAAGAAACTTGCTTATTCGTTTTTGGACTGAAATGGACTACTAATTCATTCACTGTTAATGGCAGCCCTATTTTTCTTTGTTTCTTTCCTTGTGAAAGGAGTACTGTTCTTTTAAGGGGCCAACACTTCATACCTTTTACTCTAGGAAAACACAGATAGAACAAAACCACCACTGAATTAACTGTCTAGTGGGTACCGCGTGCTGCATTGCTTAATTCACTTCAGCTGTCGTTCACAGATAGAACAAAACTAGCACTGAACTCACTAGTCGCTACTGGGTGCTGCATTGCTTGATGAGGCCAACGTTGGTTCTCACTCTGGCTGTCGATCGAAACAAAACAGCCTCAGGTCCCTGTAGATCCACAAAAAGCGGATGTATATCGATAATGTCCTTCTGAGTCCTGATCCCTGACTAGTGATAGCATCGCTAACCGCCAGGGAGCCACAATATGCATTTTCCAGGTGTTTTCGTTCATAGCGCACCGACGTAGGTACAGCGCCCGCAGTTATTTCTGACGCTCCAATCTTTTGTTGTGATCTTCAGGCCAGGCTGCTCATGGGCAACTTCATCGTCAACAAAGACAGCGTTTACAAGACCCACGATGAGCTCTGGGACGGCGAAATCTAGGACAGCTCCCTAGTCCCGTCGTGGTTGGGAGCAGGGCGCCTTGTTAGTGCCAGTTACTTGTTATGTATCGTCGACTATGCGCTTAAGAAATGTATGATTCGGCATCCCCGTGGGAGGCTGGGAACTCTTCGGTAGACTGTGCATGGATTTGCTCCCGTAGGTGATGGAATTTCTGCGAAAACCGCGTCGCGTGTTGCTAATGGAGGCATGAATTTATCAGCTTGTTCCTGTCACTGGGGTTACTTGTTCTGTACTGATTTTTCGTTTGCTGGTGTATTTTGTGTTCCTCCAACGAAGTTGCTTCACATGATAATAAAATTGGGGCCGTTTGTTAACAAGTTTGTTTGCTTGATTTTCTCTTGTGCTAGCAAGTATAGCAAAACCTTTTCCGTCTAAATCCAGTTGCTTTAGCAATGTAGCAAACGTGACCAAACTTGCACGTGATATATCATGTATGGTAGTACCAACATTTCACGTTTTTACCCAAAAAGGCTTTTGTGTGGAACGTGGCTAATCTGCACCCGAGCTCATATGCTCCCGTATGAACAGTAAAATCGAAAAAAAATCGAAAAAAATTCAAAAATTCCAAATTTTTTTTGAGAGAAACATTGACAAAAGTTCTAAGTGCCTGCAAAAATTCGTCATGAAATCACATTCCTAGAAGGCGTGGCAAAAAAAACAAAAATAATGCTCTGAAAAAGCTACTTTCAAACGCATTTTGAAGCACTGAATTTGTTTTTTTTTTTGCCACGCCTTACAGGAATGTGATTTCATGATGAATTTTTACAAGCACTTAGAACTTTTGTCAATGTTTCTCTCAAAAAAAATTGGAATTTTTCGATTTTTTTCGATTTTACTGTTCATGCGGGAGCATATAAGCTCGGGTGCAGAATGGACTTTTCGTTTTTTTGTGTGCCCCTTCTCTCCCCTCTTGTCTCCCCCGTCTTTCTGTTGTGGACCTCCGTTTGCGGTTGGCTTGTATGGTGGTTGTGCTTTAACAATGGAATAGCGCCATGTGCCGTGCAGAAAAACAGAAAATGCGCCGAGCTGCGAGCTTTCTGTCCTTCGGGAGAGAAAGGTGTCTGCCTATCTCCTTGGGCTTGGCACCGGATGAGTGGGACGATCTACTTGGGTGGCCACTAGCCCACCATTGCTCGCGTTCTTTTTGTTGCTTGGTGAAACGAAACGGCCTTTGAGGACTCCGGCGTCCCCTCGGCCCGTGATCGCATCCTCATCCCCGTCTCGCTCGCGCGGTGGCCGGAGGATGGCCGCCGCCCATTTCACGCTCAACACCGGCGCCCGCGTCCCCTCCGTGGGCCTCGGCACCTACAAGGCCGCCCCGGGGGTCATCGCCGACGTGCTCAGCGCCGCCGTCAAGGTACCAGCCCAGCCCTCTCTCCCCATCCCCTCTTTCCCCAATTCAGGCCTGTGCGTGCTTGTTCTAAGTCTGCTTGCTACGGGCGGCAATGGCAGGCAGGGTACCGGCACATCGACTGCGCGCCGCTCTACCACAACGAGAAGGAGGTTAGTCAGTCAGTCAGTTAACCCTGTAAATGAGCAGTAAATCACATGCTTGCTACTGCCGCGAGCACACGGCCTTGATCTACAAACAGATTAGAGGAGTAACTCGGCGTCTTCCTGTACTAGATTGGTGTTGCTCTGAAGAGGCTCTTCGACGATGGCGTGGTCAGGCGAGAGGACCTCTTCATCACTTCCAAGATATGGTAACATTTCCTTCCACAAGGCTAGCATTTGGTTCGAACTAGTCATTACACTTCCTATCGTAGCAACCAGAGAATCAAAACCCTGCACTTCTTCTGCATTTAAAGAAGTCAGGAACTCTGCAATTCTTCTGCACTTTGAAGAAAACTCTGTACTTCCTCTGTAGGTGCAGCGATCTCGCACCCGAAGACGTTCCGCTCGCAATCGACAGCACGTTGAAAGATCTGCAGCTGGATTATGTGGATCTATACCTAGTAAGCTGGTCACCTTCATCATGATCGAAAGATTGCCATCTCTCTGCTTCAGACAACTGACTCCTCTGGACATCTATGTAGATCCATTGGCCATTCCAGGTGAAGAAAGGCACCGAAATTAGCCCCGAGAACTTTATGCAACCTGACATACCCAAGACCTGGCAAGCCATGGAGCAGCTGTACGATTCAGGCAAGGCTCGCGCCATCGGCGTGAGCAATTTTTCCTCCAAGAAGCTAGGTGATCTGCTTGGCGTTGCCCGGGTCCCTCCGGCCGTTGATCAGGTCGAGTGCCACCTTGGCTGGCAACAGGCGAAGCTGAGAGCGTTTTGCCACTCCAATGGGGTTCATCTATCGGTAAGTCTGCTTGTGTGTTTCTGAGCTTACATTGGCATCTACTCCCTCCGTTCGGAATTACTTGTCGTAGAAATGGATGTATCTAAATGTATTTTAGTTCTAGATACATCCATTTCCGAGACAAGTAAAAACTGGAGTGTGGTGATCATATGCTTCTGGTCTGCAGGCGTACGCGCCCTTGGGCAGGATGAAAGACGTATCGAGTAACCCGGTGGTAACATCAGTAGCCGAGAGCCTGGGAAGAACTCCGGCACAGATAGCTTTGCGATGGGGTCTTCAACAGTGTCAGAGTGTACTTCCCAAGAGTGCTAATGAGTCGAGGTTGAAGGAGAACATTGATCTGTTTGACTGGTCTATTCCAGAAGAACTGTGCACCAAGCTTTCTGAAATAAAACAGGCAAGTGTCGAACATCGCATTTGTTTGTCTGGGCCTCCGAGGTGCAGAAAATGTTAAGATTGCTTGCTAAAATGTTGGCATTGGCAAATGCGCATATACGAAACTTCATAACATGAAACTAGTTCTAGTTAACTCATACTCCCTCTGTTTCGAATTACTTGTCGCACGTATGGATGTATCTAGATGTATTTTAGTTCTAGATACATCCATTTCAGCGACGAGTAATTTGGAACGGAGGGAGTAGTAGTCTAAGCAATCTCTCTATAGTATACGCCTGCTTGTGTTTATTATATACATTGTAGAATTGTTTCTGATACAAGTATGTCTTGTTCAATGCTCATGTTGGAACAGGTTAAGCAAATCAGGGGGGATTCTTTTGTGCACCCTCAAAGCATTTACAAAACCTACGAAGAGCTCTTCGACGGAGAAATTTGAAAGGAGACATCAAAATCTGGATGCACCACTAGAGTATTGAACCGAGGAACAAATTTGACAATGCTTTGTGCATGCAGGACCATATTATGTTTTTTATCTACTGTAAGATAATCGCATCGAAGGCTAATAATAATAATAATTTCCTCCGGTGGCTTGGCACGGTACTACTCCCTCCGTTCCTAAATATTTGTCTTTTTAGAGATTCAAATGGACTATCACATACGGATGTATATAGACATATTTTAGAGTGTAGATTCACTTATTTTGCTCCGTATGTAGTCACTTGATGAAATCTCTAGAAAGACAAATATTTAGGAACAGAGGGAGTAGAATGCAAATAGTACGCCTTTATAGTTGCATCCTCCCCTTCACCTCCAAAAGAAAAGGAAAAACATAACAGGGGGTGGTGCCCTGGTGCATCTTACTACTTTCCAAGCATAACTCTGCAATGATACTAACTGTACATCTATAACATGCAACAGATTTTCAACTATACAGGAGCCAAGATACCCACAAAGGAGCTCCCATGGTATGAACCGGAAGAGACGTTTACGGCTTCACTGAAATTTTACCATGCTTCTCGACATTCCTTCCTGGATCTGTTGAAACGACCTTTCAGATTACGTTCTCTGAAGCTGGCATGAATCAAGGTTACTGCAGGGTAGAAACGCAACTTGTTAGGGCAATAGTATTTTACGCAAACGTTCTAAACCTCAAATTAGATGGCCTTACCGAGTACACCAACGTATAGTGCCCACGGAACTATCAGGAAATTGCAGGAGCTCGCCCAGAAAATGCAGCTAACTGCAAACATATTAACTGTTCATTTCTGGTTCTGTTGTAACTGAAACTTCGCAAAATTAAGGTAGAAATGACATCATATGTGTTTCTACCAACCTTCAAAAAGGAACAGGGCAATGACCCACATAGACAGAGGTCGGCCACAAATATGAGTTGATCCCTTTATACTTGGTCGGCCATGAAGGAAAGGGCTGAAATGCCATTGGCAACAATTTAAACAAAGCCTTCCAAGAAACCGAGGAAAGGAATAATAATAAAAACCAGGCAATAAGATAATCACTTCATGTACGGTCTCATCTTGGCAGCTAAATCCGGTGAGAATTTTCTGACAATGCTTATAACTTTGTCGGTGGAAGTAACTGCAAAACTGCAACATCAAACATTATATCGCTATTTCTCTAGCACGTAAAGAACTCACCATAAAGAGAATAAATGACAACAGTTGGGAGCTACTATAAGAGATACATCATCTGGAATATAAGAGATACTTGGAGACTGAAAAGATGAACAGAACCCGTGCTCATTTTAGTTGGGAGGGACATGTTTTCTCAATGTAGGCATAACATTAGCAGTGAGAATATTTAAACACACCTGTCACTGATAAATGCAATGCTGAGGCCAGTTGCAAAAGCTGTAAGTATGGTAACTGGTTTCTGAAGGAAGCTCATCCCTGCATATTGCGTACACAAGAGAACAGAAATATGAAACCCAAAACATTATGTAACTGATGGAAGCCAAAAATACAGAGGTCCCATTTCATACCTATCAATATGATCAAGATGAAGTAGTTGGTCCCATAGCTGCAAAACATCAAAACAGTTGGAAAGGAACATTAGGATATATGGAACGGCACAATGGCACAAATATATCTACAAACTGGTATTACATTTTAAAAGTACTCCCTCCATCCCATAATATAAGAACGTTTTTTACACTAGTGTAGTGTCAAAAACGCTCTTGTATTACGGGACGGAGGGAGTAAATGGCAGCAAGGCATCCCATTCTAGCCCATCAAATATTCAAAATCAACGCTCGGTTATTCTGTACTCGAGTCGTTATTAAGTCATGACTCGAGTATTTGCTCAGTAGCCTCGTTCCATATGAACCACTGCGAGGGATTGATTCTGAAGAAGAAAATAACGCTGCAAAGAGTTCATACTTCACGCGTATCGACCCTCCGTCTCCTCGCGAGCCCACAGCCCCTGCCCCGTCCAGCCCAAATCGAAACACCTACCCAACCAATCTACCCCGGTGATCACTCGATTAATGGTAGAGGCCAAGAAACGGGCAGAGAATCGAGCGACGGATCGTACTAGTAGAGGTTGCACTCGAGGCGGCTGATCCACTTGGAGCAAGACCGCGGGGCACTGAAGCGGGAGAAGAACTCGGAGGAGGGGCGCGGCGGCCGCAACCAGACGAACTCCCGCATCGCCTCCACCACGTCATCCGCCGTCACCGGTCTGCCGTCCATCGCCGCCGCTCGCTGCCGTGCCGCTCGCCGCCGGCTACGAAGTCCAGACGCTATCGATCGAGGAGAAGACGGGCGCTTTGGTTCGAATTTGGTGAGCCTCGGTCCGGTTGGAACAAGACTCGTACTGTCTGACTGCACGCAGTTTCGGCCGTCCGATCCATGTACCAACGGCTCCGATCGGTTCTCGGGTTACGCCTGGCACTACCCCGCAGCGTGCAGTTGTACACTGGAAAATTGGAAGGTCACACTTTAGTAATTCATCCTGAACTTGTGATCCACAGTTAAAAAAATGAATTTGTGATCGAGTAGGGCGTTTCGGTGCCCAGGCTCATCTGCACTCGATTAGAAAAAAATTCGTAAAAAATTCAAAAAAATCCAAAAAAAATATGCGGTAGATTTGATGCGTGAGGCTCGCTCCAAATTTCAAGTCATTTGAACATCTGAGCAGCTCTCAGTAAAAAAGACAAATCGGGCCAAAACAATACATGAACAGTGCACATTTTTATACACCCCCAATTTGTCTTTTTTGCTGAGAGGTCCTCAGATGTCAAATGATTTGAAAATTGGAATGGACCTCACGCTTCAAATTGTCTACCGCACAAAAAAATTTGGAATTTTTTGAATTTTTCTAATATTTTTTTTAAATTTTTTTCATCGGCTAGGGTGCAGAGATAGATTTTCGTTTGTGATCCAGCTAATCTATTGCGTATTTCCATTGGTGATCTATAGTTCAAATAAGGTAATGGGCTCTCAGTGATCTTTTTCTATTTCTGGCGGATCCACTGAGCCATGACACCTCACATATCTAGCGGTGGTCATCTTCACGCTTACATAGTGACATTGAGTTGCACATTGGTGAAGCTCCCCGTGACACGTTGGATTGGAAGATGTGGGTGAGAATTAATTAGGATAATGTCCCAGGCGATGTAGGGTTCAAATCTCCAGCGGCGTTAATATTTGATTTAAATTAAAAATTGCCTGAGGCCACATTTGTTTCAATATCAATTCTGGATCCAGTGTTCGAATTGTTATGATCGATCGACCAAGAACTATCCGGTCCATTTCCTCAAAAAAGAAAAAAGAACTATCCGGTCCATTTGCACCACACCACGCTTTGGTTGACACGTGGTCACATGTTTAAGCTACCATGTTTTAGTTTCTTTGGCCAATTTCTAACATCCGTACACGTAATAAGAAC